TGGAGGGCAGTGTCACTGGCCCTCATATGTGGGATCTGAACCGGGGCCCTCTGGCATCCCAAGCCAGTTCTTAACCATCGCGCCACTTGGCCGGCTCAAAATAGAGATTCTTGAACCCGCTCACAGAGATACTGAATGAATGGGTCTAAGATGGAGCCTGAGAAGCTGCATTTCTAACAAGCTTCAGTGATGCTCAAACAGCTGGTTCACAATCCAAACTTTGAGTGCAAGACAGTAGATACTCATTAAATGTTTGATGACTGGCTGACTGACTGACTGAATGAATGAATGGGAAAAACCTCAAGGTAATCAGCCATGGGGAGCAGGCTCAGAATGAGTCCCCCAGTCTCTCCCTCTGCAACACAGGTCAACCAAGACCGCAACACAGGCCACTCAGTTCCTTACCTATCTATGACACCCATCCCACCATCCTAAATCTGGGTCACATCTCTGATTCTCCCTAATTGCCCAGCCAGACAGGTGCTGTCACTGAGAATCCTGATGTTGTCCAAGGACATGGCCTTAGTGCATACATGTGCACACGTGTGTGCATGCATACACACACATGCATGCACACACACACACATAAAGCCTTGCCTCTCTGAAGGCTATAATACACTTTCCCTCGCAGAATGGAAGTTGTTCAGAGGTGTTATGTCCACCACAGTGCCTGGCTCACAGTGGGTAGCTACCCAATAAATGGATTACGGAGAGATGGATGGAAGGAAGGATGGATGAATGAACTTCCTATCATCCTCTCGAAACTGTCCATGTTTCATTGTTATTATGTGAATAATAACATGAAGCAGCCCCACGCAGACAAGCAGCACTATTCCAGGGATAGGCCACCTGCAGAGGAAGGGAGGTGGGACCCCAGCATTCCAGGCAGTTCCAGAGGCGGGTCTGACTCAGTTCAAGAGGCTGGGTGAGGCCCTGGCAGGAGCCAGGGGGCCTCCAGGCTGGCTGCGCAGAAGACGCCCCTGAGGAGTCTGTAAAGTCTACAGCTGCCCATTCCAACCTCAGGGCTCTGATTTAACTGGTCTGGGGCCAAGGCTGGATCATGCCACTGTAGTGGGCGATACAACGGCATATAGGACTGGAGGAGGAACTATCCTGAAAGAAAGGGACTGTGAATAAGGGGATACTTCCTTCTGCTTGGCGAGTCATGGAGATGGGAGAGGAAAGCTGCCACTCAAGCTGGCCTCCCTGAAAGATGGATGGTGCAGAGTCATGAAGGTATTGCAGGCAGAAGACACGGCATCAACAGTGGCGTGAACAAATACGGACTGTGGGGGGAGCTGTGAGTAGCAGACGAGCTCTGAAACAAGCTTATGAAATGCTTAAACAAACAAACAAACACACAAAACAGTTAAAAACCTGTCTGCACTTCTCTACTATTTCTAAGGTCTAAGCAATGCCAAACATCTACAGAAAGGAGCACCCCATTGGTCGGAAGGAAGATGCCCATCTTCGGTTCATAGTTCCTCTCCTATAACCGAACGCTTCTCAAACCAATGCTACTTCCTGCAGAACCCACAGGGCCCCTTATACAAGTAGCTCAGTGAGGGGATGGGAGGTAAAGCAGACTATAGACTTTGGAGTCAGAGGAGCTCGAGCTTGAATCCCAGCTCTGACACTTACAGCTGGGTGACTACAGGCAAGTTAACTAAATTGGGCCTAAGCTTCCATCCCTATAAAATTGGAATAATAGACAATGCTATATTTTCTACAGGGTTATAACACATATAAAGAACTTGTAAAGGGCCAGCCGAGTGGCTCAGTTGGTTAAGAGCTCACTCAAGAGTTTGAGCTCTGAGCAACAGCGGTTTGATTCCCGGCCCGAGCTGAGCAGCGGCTGAGCTGCCAACAGGTGGCAGGATGGTTCAGCTAAAAAAAAAAAACTTGTAGAACTTGCATCAAAAGACACAATCTACGGAGTGAAAAAGACAACTTATGGAATGAAAGAAAATATTTGCAAACCATGTATCTGATAAGGGATTAAAGTCAAAATCTATAAAGAACTCCTATAACTCAACAACCAAAAAACCGAATACCTCAATGAAAAAAAAGGGCAAGGGACCTGAACAAACATTTCTCCAAAGATGATATTCAAATGGCCAACAAGCACATAAAAAAGATGTCCAACATCACTCACTAATCAGGGAAATGCAAACCAAAACCACAATGAGATATCACTTCATACTCGTACTCATTAGGATGGCTACCATCAAAAAACAGAAAATTAGTGTTGGCAAGGATGTGGGAAAATTGGAATCCTGGTGCACTACTGGTAGAAAGAAAAATGCAGCTGCTATGGAAAACACATAGAGGTTCCTTAAAAAATTAAAAATGTAATTTCTATATGATCTTGCAATTCCACTTGTGGATATATGCCCCAAAGAACTGAAAACAGGGTCTAGAAGAGATATTTGTACATCCATGTTCATAGCAGCATTATTCATAATAGCCAAAAGGTCCAAGTGCCCATAGACAGATAAATGGATAAGCAAAATGTGGTACATTCATACAACGGATTATTATTCAGCCTTAAAAAGAAAGAAAATTCTGATGCATGCTACAATGTAGATGAACCTGGATGACATTATGCTAAGTAAAATAAGCCAGTCACAAAATGACAAAAGCTGTATGATTCCACTTATATGAGGTACCTAAAGTAGTCAAATTCTTAGAAAGTAGAATGGTGGTTGCCAGGGGTTGGGGGAGGGGGGAATGGGAGTTGTTTAATGAGTACAGTGTTTCAGTTTTGCAAGACGAAAAGTTCTGGAGATCAGCTGCACAACATGAATGTACTTAATGCCACTGACCCGTGCAGTTAAAAATGATTAGGGTGGTAAATTTTATGTTATGTGTATTTAAAAAAAAAATCTACAATTGTGGGTCTCAAATTTCACTAAGCATAAATACAATCTGAGGTTTATGTTAAACATACAGATTCTGGGGCCACTTCCCCAGAAAGTCTGGGTTTCAGGCCCTGGAATCTGCCTTTTCATAAATATCCTAAGGATGTTTACCTCATTAAGAATTCATGGGGCCGGCAGAGTGGTTCAGTTGGTTAAGAGCTTGCTCAAGAGTGTGAGCTCTGAGCAACAGGGTTGCCAGTTCGATTCCCACAGGGGCCAGTGAACTGCGCCGGAGCTGAGCTGCCAACAGGTTGCAGGATGGCTCAGCTGGTGAGAGTACGTGCTCCTAACAATAAGGTTGCCTGTTTGAGATGGTGGTCTACGCCCGCCTGCAACTAAAGACTGAACTTGGCACCTTGAGCTGAGCTGCTGCCTGGATGGCTCAGAGGATAGAGCGCACGCTCTTAACAACGAGGCTGCTGGTTCGACTCCCACATGGGATGGTGGCTACACCCATCTGCAACTACTTTAACACAGCACCTTGAGCGGTGCAACTGGACTTGGAGATGAGCCTGCTGCGCCCTCCACAACTAAGATTGAAGGACAGCAACTTGGCTGTTCCACTTCCCCAATTCCCCAATTAAAAAAAAAAAGTCTTAAAAAAAAAAAAGAATTCATTTATGTCTCTCT